GAACCCGCCACCTTAGGTGTATGTGGCTGGCACCTTAGCCACTTGAGCCACAGGCACCAAGCCAGGCCAATGTATTTTAATGTAACAGAGTTCAGGAAGGTCACTGATATGGTTTCAGTTTCTATATTTCAGTTAATCTCTAAGAAGATATCACATGCACAATATCAAAGAAAAATACCCATGCTTATCTGCAAAAGCTATTATAATACTCTTCTCTTTCCAACTCTATATCCATGAAATCAGATTTTCTTCTAACCTTCAACCAAAATTATTTATCACTATAGACTGGATGCAGAAGCAGATATGAGCATCTAACTGTCTTCCATCACATCAGATATTAGAAAGGTTTGTGAAAACGCCATTTTTTATTAATATTTTTCAAAAGTATTATTTTGTTTTAATTTTTTTTGTTTTTTGAGACCGAGTCTAACTATGTCACCCTCTGTAGAGTGCTGTCACATCACAGCTCACAGCAATCTCCAACTCTTGGGCTTAAGTGATTCTCTTGCCTCAGCCTCCCAAGTAGCTGGGACTACAGGCACCCCACCACAATGCCCCGCTATTTTGTTGCAATTGTCATTGTTGTTTAGCTGGCCCAGGGCAAGGGCCGGCCGGCCTTTCTTCCTTCTTTCCTTCCTTCCTTCCTTCCTTCCTTCCTTCCTTCCTTCCTTCCTTCTTTCCTTCCTTCCTTCTTTCTCTCTCTCTCTCTCTTTTGAGACATAGCCTCACTCTGTCACCCTGGATAGAATGCTGTGGCATCATAGCTCACAGCAACCTAAAATTCTTGGGCTCAAATGATTCTCTTGCGTCAGTCTCCCCAGTAGCTGGGACTACAGGTGCCTACCACCTCGTCCGGCTGTTTTTAGAGACGGGGCTCTCGCTCTAGCTCAGGCTGGTCTCAAACTTGTGAGCTCAGGCAATCCACCCGCCATAGCCTCCCAGGGTGCTGGGATTACAGGCTTGAGCCACCACACCTGGCCAGTCAAATCTAATCTCAACAAATACAATTGTGAATGCAGAAAATGTTGCACATAAATATTTGTTTTCCCAAGTAGAAACTTAGACTAAAAGAAAAAAGAAAAGATTATTCCATTAGAAAATTCAAAACAAGAAAAACAAATGGTTCCACAATGTGGGAAAACACACGCATTGCTCTAAGAATTCAGATTTTATTATTCTGAAGAACAACAGGGATATTCGGCTAGAGCCTAAATCCACCCATGGTCATTTGAGAAATACTTCTTTCACAGTAAAGCATGACTTGGATTTTCTCTGTGGATCCAAGCAAAGAATAAAACTTTGAAATTATGAAAAACGATTTCACTTTGATCATTATGCCAGCTTAATCTCAAAGTATAAGCTTTACTTTATTAGGATAAAGAGATAGGTTGCCCTTTTAACCAAGTGACCAATGGACAAACAAACTAAGGTTAACTCCTCATCTAATGAATAGGCATGATTAAAAAGTTAGCTGGCCAAACCGTGAATAAATAAATGTCCATAAGCTTGGAAATGCTATCTGCTAGTGTTTTAAAGTGTCGATCGCATTTGCAGTCATCGCTTAAAGAATTAATGTCTGCCAATGTTATCATCTCAACTGTATTTACAGAAGTCAGCAGAGTTATGTCTGCCCTCTTCTATGCAAAGAGGAGATGACATCAAGGGGGTATGTCACAAGCCTAAGTTTAGTAGTGGATTTAAGCTGGTTTGGAGTTTTACCCACTAAGCATGATCTTCTGACCCCTCAGTTTTACAACTTTCCACTCTCTGTGCCGCATAGCACCTCTCCACTTCTGAGTTAATCATTTCTTTGCCATTATCTGCCAAGAGTTCTTATCTCTTTTGCTGTCACTTTATAACAGGGTCCTCTTATCAACCTGGACAGAGTCATGTGATCGGCCAAAGCCTATCAAAAGTTTCCATTCTTCTGATTAGAAACCATCATGAAACTGGATACATGGTTTACAGCAGGTCACTAATGCTGGAAAAAGTACAGAGTCCAGGGAAAGACTTGCTTGTAACTTTCTGAATTCTACTTTTTTTTTGCTTTTTCTTAACTTTCACTAAGAGTTTACTATAGTCTGATGTGTCCTTCCCAACAAAATTTGACAAGCTACACTACACTTTTTCTTATGCTCAATGATTTCTGCCTTAAACCAAAGGACTGCCTATAATTTCACTAAGAATGTCTTCTAATTCAGACACTGGAGATTTACAAGAATCTTTAAAGCATGGAGTTACACCCATTGGTAAGTAGAAGCTGCTCTGTTTATTATCTATTTATTATTCTACTACTCCATTAATATGTGTAACTTAATCTCAATGACAGATTTTGTATTTTAAGTCACTGCCCATGTATATATTTCCCATTTACCTTGCAGTTCAAAGAAAGCAAATAGATATTTTCACATTGTGAATATTATTCATTATAGCCAATGTTTGGGGATGTCATTCTATTAGCCTAAACAGCCAGAAATTATAATTCATAATATATTGAACTTTATGCATAGTGTTTCCTGATAATTTTTAATCATAAATAATAAGCAAAAATGTGAACAGTTTGAAACAACTTAATTATATTGAACAATCGTTGATGTGACATTTCGACACACAACAGTATGTTTTCTCTTTCACTGCAGATGTTCTGGAAATGTTCTTATTCTATTTGGCAAATGAAAGTCATGTCAAAAAAATTATCAGTTAAGGTTTAGAGGCCAAGAGGTACCATTTTTCAAAATAATGAGCGTGTCTCGTTTTTTACAAACAGACATAAGCAAATAAAGCTGTTTTTATTTTTAAAAATGGAGAGTTTCAAACTTGGTAATTTTGCAGCAGGACTATATCCGATTAATCCCAAAAGTATATGAATAAAGAGAAATGACTCTCAGTGATAGAAATCTGTTAGAAATCACCCTCTTCTTTGCCTTAGTTTTTGAAGGACCTGTGGCTTTTCTGGTAGTAGTTTTCTAAGCTGTAGGACCGGAATTGCCCTCTGAATTTTTAAGGGCCTGTCCTGAGCTCTGAGTTCCAGCTCCATGGTAATAAGAAGGAAAATGAAGGCTTGCGCTTCCCCTCTCTCTCCCTCGGTAGTCAGCTGACTCCACAGAACGCAGTGATTGCTTTTTTTTATGGGCCTACTACACCCTAAAGTATATCACTTGAGGAAATGTTTACCAAAAAATGTTCTGTACTTACGAAAAAGAAAACACGGGGAAAGCAAGCAGAGCGCAACAGCCAATCAATTGCTCTGCAGATAACCAAGCAAATGCGGGCACAAGAAAGAAGATGGGACAGACGCACAAAACGATTGCAAATCTTTTACGATGATGGGCAAAACCCCGGCGGTGCGCAGAGGCGAGGCGTAGTTCCGGGCAGCGCCCGCGCTCCGCGGAGCTGGGGCTCGGCGCGCTCCCGCCGGAGACGCGGAGCGCGCGCGCCCGGGTTGGAGCGCGCTCGGAGGCTCACGCCCGCGCCGAGCGACCCCGGGCTCCAGCGGCGCGCCCCCCTCCCAGCACTGGTTAAAATAAAGAGCACAGCTGGGGCCGGGGACCACACACGCCGAGGCCTCGCGGAGTCTCTTGGACTCCCGCGGTGAATCAAAGAGGGTGACGTAGAGAGGTAAGAGGCTTCTCTCTGCTACTGCGGAAGAAGTGTAATTTCGCCGACCGTCCCCGCACTCACATCGCAGGGCTATGCTGGGACAGAGGCGAGTCCTTCCCGAGCCTGCACGGAGAACACCCTTCGGTCTGGGATCGGCCCCTTGGCGGAGAGCCAGGAGGCGCAGGACTGTTGCAGTTGCCCCGCGGGGCTGCAGAGGTATTATTCCTCAAAAAAAAAAAAAAAAAAAGAGGCGCCCACCTGTCATCATTTGGGGTGACGGAAGTCCAGCCCATTTTCAGGCAAAAGAGATATCTTTTTGGCACTTGTTAGCAGCCACCCTCCCCTTCCCAGGCAAGGCACGCCTCTCCGTCTTTTGGTATTGCAGCCCCACAGGTAGTCCGCACCTACATCTTAGTAACCCGGAGGAGGCTGCTAGAGAGCTGGTCTGTTCAACGCATAGTCTCTAAGGGGTGCTGAGGGTCATTCCCAGAAGTTTTGGCTGACCAAGGCATGCAGAGGACTGAGGGAGAAGATGGGGCAGTGTGGAGACATCAGACTGAATCGTTGGACTGAAGGAGCCAACTGCATTCCTGAAGGAAAGCTGCCCTTTGAATGGGTCTTTCTGATTATCCTAGGCAAGGCCTACTGAGAACCCAGCAGTGTGAGGTCTCTGGGTGGCTTTCAGATGGCAAAGTGCAAGTTGGATTGAGGGATGGGGAGTGCTCCACAAACCTGAGCCTCGTGTATGTAGACAACAGTCAGGGTTTCTATCTCCACATTTATTTGTGTTGTATTGGGAAATGTGCCTCTTTTTATCTAAAAAGCTTTCTCCATGGGTCTTAATTGGGCATGGCATTCTCTTCTATGCACACTGGTGGTTACATGGAAATTATGTATAGATGTCTGTGTTCTTCCAGCAAAGTAGAACTAAGATAAAAGTAGCACATGTGGGCACATTTGGACCTACCATTTGATCCTGCAACCCTATTACTAGGTATCTGCCCAAAAGAAAAGAGAAAGTCATTTTATCATAAGGACATTAGTACCAGGGTGTTTATAGCAGCACAACTCTCAATTGCAAAGATGTGGAAGTAACCCAGGTACCCTTCACACATTAATGGATTAATAAACGGTGATATATGTATACCACGGAATACTTGTCAGCCATAAAAAGATGGGGATTTCATGTCTTTTGTAAAACAAGTACTTACTGACATCTTCACCTCCCAACAATGTGCCAAACATCTTTGATTTGTATTAAACTTACATAATTTTTTCAAATTAAGTACATTTACACAACATCATATGCACATCCAATATCATATTGCACATTATGTACAAGAAATCACTTCTGCATATTTAGGGGTAATATAATACATAATGCACAACGCAAAGACTATTGATTGAGTCTGTAATATAAGGTTTGGTCCCCTGAACACTCTTGGAGTCTGATTTTATTTCAGTGATAAACCTCCAGCAAGCTGTGTGCCCATAAGAATCTCCGAAAGTTCTACTGACTTCATTCAGTAGAGCACATGATAGCCGTTATGTCAACCTAACCTCTAAAGCATATCAGAGTTACTTTCAATGCAGTTTGGGATGGCAGTCATTCTGGCTGGGTTCCAGCTCCGTCCTATAATCCTAGCACTCCAGGAGGCTTAGGGAGGAGGCTTCCTTGAGGCCAGGAGTTGAAGATCAGCCTGAGCAAGAGGGAGACCTTGTTTCTACTAAAAATAGAAAAAATATCCAGGCACTGTGACAGGTACCTATAGTCCCAGCTACTGGGGAGGTTGAGGGAAGAGGAGTCTTTAACTCAAGGTTTGGGGTTGCTGTATGCAACAGAGAGAGACTTTGTCAGAAAGAAAGAAGGAAGGAAGGAAGGAAATACCAGAGTGCCAGAATGCCAGTCACTCAAGCCCATATTCTGATTCTTGCAATCACTCAAGCCTTTGTTGGATTCTTACAGGTGGGGCTCAGGGCTTAGGCTGTCAGTTTGTCAGTTTCCTCCAGGAAGTTAAACTCAGGAGCCTCCTTCCCTCACTATCTCAGCCCATCTCCAAAACGGTGCTTCCCAGATTCCTCTTTCCCGGCATGGGTCCACAGGTGTGACCAGAGTTAAAGACTTCTTTAACACCTCTTTTAATAAACCAGGAAAATTGTGTGGAGAAAGAGAGAACAGGAGCATAGAAATGCTTTTCTCCTTTACTGGACCCTTCCACCAGACACAATGTCTAGGGTGATCTTGGATCCAGCCTTGAATGTGAACTGAGCTAGAGAAGGACAGACCAGAGGTTCAGCCTCCCCACAAACATCTCCAGAGTACTCTCAGCAGGACCAGACACTCACTCCCCAGTTCTAGATCCTATCAGTATAGAGCTACTTCTGTGACTTCTTCCTTACTCTTCACCTTAGTACAACTATTATTTCTTTGAGAAATCCAGTTGACTTCAAAGAAGTTGAAGAGTTTAGGGGGTATTGTGATCTGGGAAGGCCCTGGGAAGGATTTGAAATAAATACATTGAACTTGGGAGATGAAGCCTGAGAAACCCACTGGATTGAAATTGACCAAATTGATAAAAAGTTACTTCTTTTTTGGAGGCAAATTTTACCTGTTTTGTGGGAACATCTGTCACACGTGGTTTTGTATGATTGATAAGAAAAGATAATTGGAATTTACTCCAAATGAACTGAACACAGATGACCATGAGCACTTGTGCGAGCAGTTTCATCTGAGGATAATGTAATTGTCACTGAAGACTGTGTCAAGCCCTATACGGCAATCAAGTGGTGAGCAAGTGTCTCCCACTGGAAGGATCTATTTTTAACGGTCCTAGGATGGTGACTGATTCTCTTAGTTATTTTCCTTGTGGAATGAGGAGTTTGGGTGAAGTTAGGGATTAAGAAAGACAAAAGAGAACTGATACTTATTAATAGCACAGAATGCTGCTTTACTGGCCCTCTCTCATGTAACTAGGAAGTTTCCTTTGTCAACCCAATTTTACTTATTAAAAAATGGAATCAGTAAAAATCAAGTGATTTACTCAAGATCACTCAGCTTCTCAGAAAACAGAGCTGTAAATAGAACCCCAGAAGTATGATTATGAAATCCATGCTCTTTCCTGCAGGTAGTAACTAATTATTCTTGTTGCTATATAGGAATTATGACTGAAAATAATGTTGGTCTACTCAGACTTTCTTCCAAAAGACATTGTAAGCTTAAGAAAGACACCTGTAAATTCTCTTTATCTTCCTTTCCTTCCACAGCGGAGATCAGATTTAGATCCCTATGGAATTCTGAAGGATGGGAAGGGGAGGGGGAACCTATGAAGGCAGAAGAGAGACAGCATCCGCTGAGAGGATTGAGGTCAGAGCATGGTTGAGTTGGCAGGTACTCTGGTCTCCTGTTCTGGAATTTGCTGGAAAGATCTCTTGAGTTTGAGTGTAGTTCAGCTTGTGGATGTCTGGTGTACATTGGCAACTCACAGGATTACCACCAGTGACAAGTAGCTTTGAATTGCGTGGTAACCTCTGTGATCTCCTGGACCCTATCTCTTTCCCTGGCTCAGAAGCACTTACTTGTTACAGAGAGTCAGAGTGTAAGGACAGCAGGGCAATCACTCTAAATTACACAGCAGAAACAAACATAGTG